CCCCATCTCTACTAAAAATACAAAGTTAGTCAGGTATGGTGGTTCATGCCTGTAATCCCAGCTTCTTGGGAGGCTGAGGCAGAAGCATCACTTGAACCCGGAAGGCAGAGGTTGCAGTGAGCTGAGATCACACCATTGCACTCCAGCCTGGACAACAAGGGTGAAACTCCCTCTCAAAAAGGAAAAAAAAAAAAAGAATAATTGGACCAGACATGGTGGCTTACGTCTGAATCCCAGAATCCCAGAACTTTGGGAGGTCAAGGTGGGCAGATCACCTGAGGCTAGGAGTTTAAGACCAGTCTGGCCGACATGGCAAAACTCGTCTCTACTAAAAATACAAAAACTAGCCAGGCATGATGGTGCATGTCTGTAATTCCAGCTACTCAGGTGGCTGAGGCAAGAGAATCACTTGAACCCAGGAGGCAGAGACTGCAGTGAGCTGTACTCTAGCCTGGGTGACAGAGCAAGATACTGTCTCAAAGAAAATTTAAAAAGGGCAGGCATGATGGCTCACACCTGTAATCCCAGTACTTTGGTAGGCTGAGGCAGGCGGATCACCTGAGGTCAGGAGATTGAGACCAGCCTGGCCAATATGGTGAAACCCCACCTCTACTAAAAATTCCAAAAATTAGCCGGGCTTAGTGGCAGGCTCCTGTAATCCTAGCTACTCAGGAGGCTGACACAGAAGAATTGCTTGAACCCAGGAGGCAGAGGTTGCAGTGAGCCAAGATTGCACCATTGCACTCCTGCCTGGGCAACAAGAGCAAAACTTAGTATTGAAAAAAAAAAAAAGAAAAATTGAAGCCAGTTCTCTCCCTATCAGAAGAGTGAATTACAAATATGGAAAGGGAGAAATCTAACATAAATTCTGTGGTTTGGGATTGAGAACTGGAAGTAACAGTGTGAACTCACAGTTTGCAAGATAGATAGAGATACATAGATATAAACGTGTGTGTGTGTGTGTGTGTGTGTGTGTGTGTGTGTGTCCGTGTCCTATTTGTCCTATTGCTGTACAGGAGAGGGCCTGGGAGGAGCAGAATCCTAACAGCAATGGGCATATCTGGCACTCAGATCTTGGCTTGAGTACACTTCGGACCCAGAAATATCATTTTCCCTAAAAGGAATGAGAGAAATGGTGGATCCTGGGCTTGGAGCAGGGAATATGCAAGATGAGCCCCAAACATCTTTTTGTACCAAAAGCAAGGATTTGCTTAAAGAATGTTAGGGGCGGCTGGGCATGGTGGCTCACGCCTGTAATCCAAGCACTTTGGAAGCCAAGGTGGGCGGATCACCTGAGGTCGGGAGTTCAACGCCAGCCTGACCAACACGGTGAAATCCTGTCTTAAAAAAAAAAAAAGAATGTTAGGGGCATATAAAAAGGACCCATGAGCCATCATCAAGGGCTTCTGCTGGCCAAATCTGGTACAATGTGAACCAATCAAATTAAGAAAGTATAGCCCTATTTTGAATAAAATAGGAAAGCATGAGTCCATACTCATATATATAAATAAGTGAGAACATTGATGAGGCACCGGCTATTTATAGAGTTTCAGAGTATCCACAAAATATGTACTAATTACAAGGGGGAAATGAATGATTTTACACCAGAGAAGCCTTGCAGACGTCACCTTAATTAAGTGAGCAGGGCAAACATCATTCCTAATGTGACAAATTAAAGTCATGCACCACCTGACTGAATGCAAGGAGGGAGCTCAGCATCACTTCTGTGGAAACATGACTCTAGACATGACGAAACAGCAGACAAACCAACATTGGGGCTATCGCCAAATAATTGGATTGCAATCACCAAAAATATCAAGGATATGAAAGTTCTTCAAGAAGGACTTGAAGAACTGTTTCAGAGCGAGGGAGATTAAGAAGGTACAAAAACTATGAGCTAGTCGGTCACGTTGGCTCATGCCTATAACCCCAGCACTTTGGGGAGGCCAAGGCGGGCAGATCTCCTGGGGTCAGGAGTTCGAGATCAGCCTGGCCAACATGGAGAAACCCTGTCTCTACTGAAAATATAAAAACTAGCCAGGCGTGGTGGTTTGTGCCTATAATCCCAGCTACTTGGGAGGCTGAGGCATGAGAATCACTTGAACCCAGGAGGCAGAGGTTGGAGAGCTGAGATCATGCCACTGCACTCCAGCCTGGGTGACAGAGTGAGACTCTGTCTCAAAAGAAATGAAAATAAAAATGAATAAACAAATACATTAGAAAAAGTAAAATAAAAATAGGCCAGGCGCCGTGGCTCACGCCTATAATCCCAGCACTTTGGGAGGCTGAGGCGGGTGAATCACGAGGTCAAGAGATCGAGATCATCCTGGTCAGCAAGGTGAAACCCCGTCTCTACTAAAAATACAAAAATTAGCTGGGCATGGTGGCGCGTGCCTGTAATCCCAGCTACTTGGGAGGGTGAGGCAGGAGAATTGCTTGAACCCAGAAGGCAGAGGTTGCGGTGAGCCGAGATCATCCCATTGCACTCCAGTCTGGGTAACAACAGTGAAACTCTGTCTCAAAAAAAAAAAAAAAAAAGGAAGAAAAAATAAAAAAGCAATAAATAAATAAATAAATACATTAGAACCCAGACCAATTAAATTGAAGTTTGGGGGGATGGGATCCAGTGTTTTTTAAGGCTCCCAGGTGATTTCAATGTGCAGCTGAGATTGAGAACCACAGTTCTAGTAATAGGTCTGGATTAGCACTGGGTGGGGATGTGCAGAATTCAACTCCTGTGGCAGGTTACTCCTCTAGTGAGGTCTCTAAGAGCTCTTCAGGCAAGATGACTCCGCAGACAACCGAGGCTCAGTGCAGTACTGTAAGCCTCAGTGCGCTTTTGAGAATCTTCCTGTTTATTTATCATTGCCTTCACTTCAGCCTAAGAAACTTGGTGAGGCTATGAATTCAACTGATACTGTCATTTATCAAACTATTGCTCAAATGTCAGGTCTAATTTTTGGCTGCTTCAGCCCTGTGGCAATAAGAGGATAGAGATTCTTTTAACACAATCTCTAGTCACTGGACCATGCTTTAGATTGAGAATTTATAGCATATTCTTTCTTTGTCTTTCTTTCTTTTTAAACTTGACATAGTCTCGGATTTCCTCTCCCCTCCCAACCAAGAACCATCTGAGAGTAAGTTGCTGATGTGATTATCCCCTAATCCTTTAGTGCAACCTTTCTCAACCAGGGTTCCTCATGTGATTGACAGAATAGAAAAAAAAATGATTTCAATTTAAAAAAGCCATCACCTCACCAGGAACTGAATTAGCCAGAACCTTGATCTTGGACTTCCCAGCCTCCAGAACTGTGAGAGTTAAATTTCTGTTGTTTAAGCCACCCAATCTATCATATTTTGTTTTAGCAGCCCAAGTTGATTAACAGGAGGCCTCCTAAAGAAGGCTTGGAGGAAGTGCTACACTGTATACTCAGAAAGTTATGGTAGGCTCTTTCCTTCAGTGTGCATTTATTCAAGGGACTCTGGACCTGAGAGCTGACTTGGGCTTGGAAATTGGAACAAGAACTATTTTTTTTATCATGATGGATTCAGTCAAACCTCTGTTTGCCAGACTTAGAGTTTTTAGTTATACCTGATTCTGTAGAAATGTAATGGGCTGTATATCTCTCTCTTTCTGGCTTGTAGATGGCTGCCTTCTTGTTATATCCTCACGTGGCCTTGGTGCATGTATGTGAAAAGAGAGATCTCCTTCTCTTCCTCTTCTTAAAGGCCAATAATCCCATCATGAGGGCCCCATCCTTATGACCTAATCTAACCCTAATTACTTTCCAAAGGCCCCATCTCTAAATATTATCAAACTGGGGGTTTGGGTTTCAACATATGAATTTTGGGGAGAACACATTCAGTCCATAGTATTATACCCCTGACCTCTTAAAAGCACACTGAAGTTTACAGTAGCCCAAACTGTAATCTTCATTCATTCATTCCATCCTGCCAGTCCCAAAAGTCTTAATTTGATCCAGCACCAACTCTAAAGTCTAAAGTCCAAAGTTTCATCGAGACTACTATGGGTGAGACTTGAGGTGTTCATCCTGAGGCAAATTCCTCTCCAGTGCTCAACCTGTGAAACCAGACAACTACAATGATGGGAAAGGCATAGGATAAACATTATGATTTCCGGAAGGAAGAAATAGGCCAGGCACAGTGGCTCATGCCTGTAATCCCAGTGCTTTGGGAGGCTGAGGCGGGTGGCTCACCTGAGGTCAGGAGTTCAAGACCAGTCTGGCCAAAATGGCAAAACCCCATCTCTACTAAAAATACAAAAATTAGCCTGGTGTGAGGGCTGGCACATGTAATCCTAGCTACTCTGGAGGCTGAAGTAGGAGAATCACTTGAACCCAGGAGGTGGAGGTTGCAGTGAGCTCCAATCTCGGCAACAAGAACAAAACTCCGTCTTAAAAAAAAAAGAAAGAAATAAATAAATAAAAAAGAAGGACAGCGTGATTCTGCTGAAAACGTTAAAGACAGAAAAGAAAAAAAGGGGGAAAAAAAAGGACAGGGTGATGTGGCCCAAGCAAATCAAAACTTAGCAAGGTGTGTTCTCTTTGATCTAAAGGCTTGAGAATAATCCTCTTTGGTTATATGCTCTGCTGTGTGGACCCACTGGGGTGATGGTCCACCTTCAGGGCTCACTGGGACAGTGGTCCTGCCTCTGCAGCTCTGCCAGGCAGGGTGTGACCTACCAGTTTCTGGGAGTCTAGTCTGAAGGTTCTGCACGATGGTTCCACCCCCAAGGCTTCAAGTGGTGGCCATCTGGCCAGCTGAAGTTGAGGCAGGTCTCTGAATCATCACTGGGGTTCTCAAGGTCATTTTTCCATAGTTTTGAAGAAGAACACAGATTTTGCAGCCAAATAGCTCCATTGTCCTGTCTTGTAGAATCTAAGAAGTCCTACAGTTTTTCTTCATGTCATCTTGTATCTGTCTTTTTCTTCATTTCATCCCATATCCATCCCCTATCTTTTGTTCAAACTGGCAATGTGCCTGCTTATATAATCCCAGAAACCCTTCACAAAGCAATAGTCCAAGCACACCCTCAGTGTTCCCTTTAGAACAAGCTTTCTCATTTTTTGCAATACTGGTAGACTGAGTGAGGATTATCCAAATCTTCAAGTTCTGGTTCTTTTTTTTTTTTTGAGGCAGAGTTTTGTTCGTTACCCAGGCTGGAGTGCAATGATGAGATCTCGGCTCACCACAACCTCCGCCTCCTGGGTTCAAGCAATTCTCCTGCCTCAGCCACCCACAAAGCTGGGATTACAGGCATGCGCCACCACGCCTGGCTATTTTTTTTTTTTTGTATTTTTGATAGAGATGGGTTTTCTCCATGTTGGTTAGGCTGCTCTTGAACTCCTGATCTCGTGATCTGCCTGCCTCGGCCTCCCAAAGTGCTGGAATTACAGGCACAAGCCACCGTGCCTAGCAAGTTCTGGTTCCTTTTTGCTTTTTCAATTAATTCCTTCTTCAATTAATCTCTCTCTTCTCACACTTTACTGTAAGTGCTGAGGAGGAACCAAGCCATTCTTTCCAGACTTTGCTTAGAAATCTCCTCAGCTGGCTGGGTGTTGTGGCTCACGCCTGTAATCCCAGCACTTTGAGAGGCCAAGATGGGCAGATCACAAGGTCAGGGGTTCGAGACCAGCCTGGCCAACCTCATGAAATCTCGTCTCTACTAAAAATACAAAAATTAGCTGGGTATGGTGGCGTATGCCTGTAATCCCAGCTACTCTGAAGGTCAAGAAAACAAGTTACCTCCAATCGTATAACCAGTAAGTAGGAGAGTCAGATTTACTCTACAGCTTCTGGTCTTGTCCGTTATGATGCACTGCCTTGGTAGTTACCTTTTGGTTTTTTAAAAAAACTATTAAAATCACCTCCACCGGGAGGTGGAGATTGCAGTGAGCTGAGACTGTGCCATTGCACTCCAGCCTGGATGACAGAGCAAGACTCTGTCTCAAAAAAAAAAAAAAAGAAACACAGAAAGAAAAGCAGTGGGCCCAAAGCTGAAAAGAAAAAGAAGCGGCGTCTGCGGGATCTCCAGCTAGGAGAAGAACAAGATGCCCGGAAGAGAAATCCCAAAGCTTTTGCAGTTCAGTCTGCTGTGCGGATGGCTTGATCCTTTCACTGGTATGTTTAGCTGCAGTCTGGTGGTTCTTCCACTGATTCTTTTTAAATAGAAGGAGCCTATCACAGGTGACATTTTGATTCATGAGTCTAGTCCAGCTCCAAAGGACATAGAGATGTATGCTGTGTGGCTTTCACTAAAACGTGGGAAACCTTCCCCGTAGAAGCTGCCTTGCCTTCAGCATCTGCACACTGGTTGGTGTTTCTTGCTCAAGATAAAAGAATTCATAGAATCTGTTTATTCCTAAGCTTTAAACTGTTTCTATGGTGGTAAGTGTGCTTTTTCCCTCTAGATATGTTTTACATAGTTGTAACATAAAATACAAAAATTACAATATTTAATACAAACATAGCTTTATTTAGTGAGTCCTTGTGATATGCCTCACAGTGTACTTCAAACGTTTTTCAACTAAATGCTTCCAGCAGCCTTACCAGAGTAGGAATCATTCTTGCCCTCATTTTATGGATAAGAAAACTGAGGTCAAGAAAACAAGTTACCTCCAATCATATAACCAGTAAGTAGGAGAGTCAGATTTACTCTACAGCTTCTGGTCTTGTCCGTTATGATGCACTGCCTTGGTAGTTACCTTTTGGTTTTTTAAAAAAACTATTAAAATCACTTATAAAACAGTCAGATTTAAGGAGTATTTAATTTTCAATTCTCTGTACTATTGAAGTCATCTTGTTACATCTTATTGAACAGCAATTATTTAGATGGGGACCGGAAGTTATCAAGCTAATAATTGACAAGTTAATATATTTATTTAATGTCTGTTGTACTCTCTATAAGTATACTTAAAAAGTCTACTTATATGGTTGATACCTTTTATTCTATTTTGGAAAGTAAGTTTACTATTTTTTTTTTTTTCATGAATAGGACTCAGGATTTGAAGACAAAGAAGCATCATATTCCAGTGGTTGATCAAACTCCACTAGAGCCCCCACCAATAGTGGTGATGGTGATGGGGCCTCCAAAAGTTGGAAAGAGCATTTTGATACAGTGCCTCATCGGAAGTTCACCTGGCAGAAGTTGACCGAGATCTGAGGCCCTGTGACGGTCTTGTCAGGTAGGAGATGCTGCCACAGACACAGTTGGCATGGCTGTTGTCATCTGAGGGACATGCATGTATTTGTTGTTTTCTTGAGTGGAATATGTTAAATATTGTCATATCATGCTGCCTCTCTTTTGCTTTTACTAAGTTGGATATGGCTTCAAAACCGGGTAAGTTCCCAGAGATAAGGATGTGATAAATATCTTATCCTAACTGCCCTATGGCTTTGCCAAGTATGTTCCTTGGAAGGGCCTAGCAGGCCTGGTCACCATGAAGACATCGTTTAATAGATAGCACGCACCTCCTATGTGCCACGCTTGCTGTGATGAAACCACATTCTGGTGGATGTGAGAGTTTTCTCTTTTTCCTGTGAGAATTTGCGTTGGAAGATGGTGACCTTTCCACGTTTGAGGGAAAATGAAACAAGCTTCCAGTGGTAGAATGGCAGTGTACAATCTGAAATCTCTTGTTATTGCAATAATATAGTAGGATTGGGCTTTTCTTTATCTTTGGAGCATCCATATTTTCTTTTCCTTTTTTTGAGACAGAGTCCTACTCTATGGCACAGGCTGGAGTGCAGTGGTGTGATTATAGCCCACTGCAGCCTCAACCGCCTAGGCTCAGGCAGTCCTGCCTCCTGAGTAGTGTATGTCACCACACCTGGCTAGCTTTTCTTCCTTTCCCCGTCACCCGGTAGAGATGGGGTTTCCCCATGTGTCCCAGGCTGGTCTCAAAACTCCTGGGCTCAAGGGATCCGCCTGCATTGGCCTCCCAAAGTTCTGGGACTACAGGGATGAGCCATTGTGCCCAACCCATATTTTTTTTGACTGTTTTCCTTTTACCTTAATTTAGGAATAATTATTGTTATGAGTATTCTGTTGTATCATGTTTGAGGATATTTTTGGCTATAGTAGGAATACAGGAAGTTTTGTCAGAGGCAAAGACATTGGCCTGCAGCCGAACGGCAGGATCGTGGTTATCATGGAGTCTGTCCAGTCAGGATTTTCTCTGTATGAGCACTTTTATTCACCTGGGTAGACTTTTTATATTATTTCAATTTAGAACACAGCAAGAAAAACAGGATGGAATTTATTTTATGTTACTAGTTTTTGCCTATAAAAATGAACTTCTGGTACACTCCTGTAAACATATATGGTGTTTAGTGGATGCAATTAAAAAAAATGAAAATGAGATCTGATGGTTAGGGTTTCTCCAGAGTCTTTTTAAAGTAAAATTTTCATCTTTTCACTTATAGGTGAAAAGCGCAGACTCGCCGTTATTGAATGTGGGTGTGACATTAACATGATGATTGATCTGGCTAAAGTAGCAGATCTGGTAACTTAGCAGGGGCAGCCTGAGGTGCTGATGGATGTGATAGGTTATTTACCCCGTGATAAAGGGAAGAGTATTTTATGATTATTAAAGGAATCATGGTCATCATCAGGGATACAGTACGTGTGATTGAATTGATGATAATAATAATAGTAAATGTTGTTACATTAATAATAAGAATGGGATGTACACAATAAAATATATTCCAAAATCTAAAAGGAAATCACAGGATGGAGAAAACCTTTAACGAACACAGCTAATAAAAAGTCATTAACATGCATATGTATATATGTACAAAATATATCATAGTAAGTATCATTTCTTCTTGGACCCTTCCTGGCACTGTGCTAACTGCTTTCTACAAATTTAGCTTACATGAACCCTTGAGGTGAGTTCGGTATTATCTGTAATTTACATAAGATGAAATAGAGCCTCCCAGCAATTAAGTAACTTGTGTGAAGGTGAGATCCTTGTTCCTAATGGTTCCAGAACCTTCATCCTTAATGCAAAATGAACTTCAAAAGTAAGTACATGAATTGCCCTGAAGAAGTGATCAGAGTTTATCAATAGAAAATCTAGACAGTACTGAGTGTATGTAAAATGTACACGCACTTTTGATTATGGAAATGGTAATGTTCACTGTTTCTGTTACTCTATTAACTATCTTTTAAATTGGCAAGAATAAAGTATACATTAGGAAAAAAGCCATATTGATTAGGAAGTGTGGGGTGACAAATGCCTTGGGAGTTTCATTTTTATTTAGTTTTTACTAGAGAGCCATTTTGCGACAAAGAGCTACAAATTTGGCCCAGGAAGACTCCTAAAATATAAAGTAAAAAGTAATACAGATTTTAAAGTCGTGCTATTGTAAGGAAGCTAAATAACATTTAAATTTTGAACATGTAATACTACTGTGAATACAAATAAGTGTTATTATTAATGTGGTATAAGCTTACTAAATCTCGTGTACTTGAAATGATTTAAACAGTTTATAGAAGTAATTTGTCTTTTTTATTTAAAACATAGCAAGTTTCTAATTTTGAAGATGTACATTTTAATAGATGCCGTTACATTTAAAATTTTTAATTATTATGGATACGTAATAGTTGTACATAAGGAACACTTCAATTTCATTCTTTTAGTTATTCTGAATTATATAATAAATTATAGTCACCCTATTGTGCTCTTGGACATGAGAATTTATTCTGTTTAACTGTATTTTTGTACCTGTTAACCTGTCCCTCTTTGTCCCTCCCTCCCTGCTGCCCTTCCCAGACTCTTAGCCATCATAGAGAGAGATACCTATTATGTAAATCATTTTAAGATTTTCAAAAGGAAGACACACATTTGGTAAAGTATTGTAACTGTAATGCAGGATACACACAATGCACATCTTCTTTTTTCCTACTCTAACTGCTGGTCTCTCAGATCCCTGCAGAGCAGTGTCCTTCTAGATGCATATAAACTTGCCACCCTTTAGAAACACAAATGGAAGCTTATTTTATACAGTTTTGTGCTTTTCTTTTTTCATGTAATACAACTTGGAGGTATATAATCAGTAAGTACTGTAGTTCTGCCTCCTTTTTAATCCATCCTATGGATGCACCATAATTTATTTAGCCTAGCTTATGTTGATTGCTCTGCTCTGGGTTGTCAAAGCCTCCTGAGAATGCAGAGGCACACAAAATATGTGGATTTAGGTGTGTAGGTGCGTGTGTGGATTAGGGGTGTAACACTGGCTTAGATGACAAAGATTGGCAGCTGAGGGAGTTTGCTCCCCGTTCTTCCTGACCCTACAAACAGCTGCTTGCCCCTTGGCACTCTGTCGTCAGATGTGGTGTGAAGATATTCCACCTGTCCTTTGAGCTGGTCCAGAACCATTTCTGTGCTCAGAAGCCTCACCTCTGTCTCCTCACCATTCTTAGATGGATACCTCTGCTCAGCTGCAGACCAGTCTGCCTCTGTGGGGTTCTAAGTCCTGAAAGAAGCCAGCGAGGCTCTGGAAGCCTCAGGACTTTGCTGGAAGTCTTCCTTCTTAGGATTGCTTCTTGTTTAGAGCTTTTATTTTGCTGCAGTATTGACAAGAATTTAATTGAAATATAATTTTTAGTTTTCCCTTAATTTCTAGGGTGCCAAGCTGTTCTACCTTTCTGGAGTGGTGCATGGAGAATATCAAAATGAGGAAATTGACGATCTGGGCCATTTTATTACAGTTATGAAGTTTAGGCCTCTCACATGGCAAACTTCTCACCCTTATGTCCTTGCAGACAGGTAAATAGTGATTGTAAACTTTTTCTTCATCGGTCATATATTTCAAAGCTAAAAAGGCTAGAAAAAGAACAGTGCTAGAATTTATTGTTTGCCTATTTGAATAGTGGGGGTAGAAGTGTAGTTGATGAAAAATGTCTATTGCTCCAAGATGCTGTGCCTTTGGGAGTAAATTAATTATGAAGTATTTAGGAAAATAAGAGGACTTGGAAGCACTTAAGGCTACAGGATGTGGCCCCATCCTATATTCAGCGTCAGTTTTCAGTGATGCTGCCTTGTGTCCATGTGCTTGAGTTCTTTGTGTGTGCCTTCAGATTCCTTCCTTTGTGCTCTTCCTCATGTGGTTTTCTCAGCCTGGAATACCTGTTTCCACCTGCCAGAATCCACATCACAGTAAAAATCCCAGAGTACAGGCTTGCCCTCTTCCAGAAAGGGATTTTCTGAATATGTTTTTCACTCTTCCCTGACCCCAGGTGAATATCATGTCCCTGTCTGGTGTCTTATGGAATGAATGTCACTTTTAGCCTACAGTGGTATTTCTGCCCCTTTTCCTCTGGTGGATGGTGAATGGTGCTTCCTTATTTCTGTATTTTCTAGTTTTCTGAGCGACATGCTTAGCGGACAAGAGTGTGGTGAGTCATCGACACATGAAAGGAGGTATAGGAACTTTTGACATTCATTTCTGCTGTATGACTGAATTTATTTTTCTAGGGTGGAAGATTTGACAAACCAAGAGGATATACAAACAAACATCAAATGTGATCAGAAGGTGTCACTTTATGGTAAAGAAGAGCGCACTTAAGAAATAAAAGCCAGATTCATATGCCAGGTATTGTCTTGTTATTAGAACATGTTAGAATTACACATAGGATTCTTGGGATGGCTTGATTTCTCAGGAAGAAATAGACAAAAAGCAACCTATGGAAATCTGAAAATTTTGAGGTTATCTGAAATATGACCAAACAAGGGAAGATGGCCTTGCTGGAGTTTTTAAAAGTAACCCAGCGATGTGGAGGCCTGCAACCATGTTATCAAATCCATCTTCTCCTGTAGCTAGAGGGGCACTGTTCCGGTTTGGTGCAGTGCCCTTCTTTAGCAAAATGTTTTAAGCCCTTGGACTGTGGATCATTTTTACCCCCACAGTCAACAGTAGATACTTCCTGACTTCTTGTCAGTGGAAGCTGGCTTTTTAAAAGGGGCCTGTCTTCTAGGGGTAGGAGACTTCGCCGTGAGTGATGTCAGTTTCCTCCCAGACCCTTGTGTTTTCCTGAACAACAGAAGAAGTTCTGTTTAAATGAGAAGGAGAAACTGGTTTATGCATCTCTTTCTGGAGTTGGGGGTGTGCTGTATGACAAAGACACCATCTATGTTGACCTCGGTGGCAGCCACAGTTTTCCGGCATCAGTGAGACAGGATTCATTGCTCTGAACTCTCATTCTTCCTTCTGAATCTATTTTTTAATCACAAAAAGTAACGTACTCGGTTTTTATATGTTGAAGACTTTTCTCTTGTACTTATAATAAAGGCCCAAATGCATATTGTAAATCTATAGAATTAAAAGAATACTTTTTTTTTGCATCGTACCAAGAAGAGTCCTATCCTCCATGCCTCCTCGATCCATGGCCCCACTATGAGCACTGCTGTCAGTGTGGCTCCTGCATGGCCCCTTTGCCATTTCTACAAAATCAGTGTGCTTTCCAGATCTCTTTGGTCTTTTTCTTTTTCTCATTCACAGTGGTCTCCTTCTCTGTATTTTAAAGTGGGTTTCAAATCTTTGTCAGTTCTGAAGTTGAATTGTATTGGGTTAAAACCAGGGTTACTTTAAAATGTTAGAAAAGCTAGCATTGTTGTACCATTGGAACTGAGGTTTTTCTAGCTAGGTGTTTAGAGTATCAGGTTATATACTCCCAGAACATTGGAAAAGTTTAATGGAGATGGGGATCCATTTCAAGCTTTGCTGTGAAGATTTTCTTCTCTGCTTTTCAAGATATTAAGAAAGGTTCTCAGGAAATGTGTCTAAGATAATTTTGAGAAACTGAGTGAAACCAGTGTCTCTCCAGGATCTTTGTGCTTTCCTCACATACCCTTTTTTGGTGGTCTTGACAGGATGAGGTGGGGTCCACTCATGAGCTGGTCCAGAGTCTCGTCTCCACTCACTCCATCGATACCAAGATGGCTTCAAGTTGAGTGATGCTGTTTTCTGATTCCAAGCCACTTGGGTCAGAGGATATAGATAATCAAAGGTAAGTCTGCTTTTTTTTTTTATTTTTAATAAAAAGGTATATTACAGAAGATGTGTAATTCTGCGATCAGAACACATTTTGGTGGGATTCATTCTAGGTTGATTTGTTTTTCTTTGTGTGTGCATGTGTCTGAGGGCTCTTCACTTACCTGACATTACAAGAAAGTATTTACTTGAAATAAAATACAGGATGCATTTTTGGACAGTCCTCAAATATTCTTTAAATTCCATGCCATTTTCCATAGGTTGCTTTTTGTTTTTTTAAGGGACTTGAGGCCACTTGGCTTTTTTTTTGGTGGCCAAAACACTAGAGCAGACCCAGAGAGTTTGTGGCTGTCCAGAAGTCACATGTCTTGGCTCTGAAAGTTTTATTTAGATTATGTTGTACTGTCTCCCGTGGGTAGGTTTCCACTGATGTGTGGCTTATGTGAATTCTTTTTCAGTCTGGGTTGGAAATTTGTTATACACAGAGGATGTTGGCAAAACCTTGGTTTTGTTGTATTGATTTGTTACTCCCAGTAAAATGTATCTGAAAATTTTGAGATTATCTAGTATGTAATTTGTTACACTGTGCATAAACTACCTAGCACAGTACCTGACAGATATGAAGTGTTCACTGAAAGATCACTCTTTTATAATGAGTGTTATGAGCTGTTTTCATTTTTGCATATCCTTCTAGTCATCCTTGGCTACAAGAATACTGCCTTCTAATATAGTTACAGTTTAAATACATAATTTTATTTCTATATTCTGAGCATTTCCTTTTTCTATACAGTCTTTAGGTCATCATTATTTTGTTATTATTGGTGTATTCTTTTTCTTTGTTTTTGAAACAAGGTCTCACTTTGTCTCCCAGGCTGGAGTGCAGTGGCATGATCTTGGCTCACCATAACATTGAACTCCCAGGCTGAAGTGATCCTCTCACTTCAGCCCCACAAGTAGCTGGGACTGCAGGAGTGTGGGAGCTTTCAGCCTGTCTCCTGTGTCCTTTCAACCACTCCTGGCTAAATTTTTTTTTAACTATTTTCTAGAGATAAGGTATCACTATGTAGCCCAGGCTGGTCTAGAACTCCTGGGCCCAAGGAATCCTCCCGCGTTGGCCTCCGAAAATCACTGGATTAGCCTTGCCTGTTATTGCTGTATTCTAACTTACCCATCTCTTATGGTATGATTTTTAGTTGTTCCTAATTTATGTTTTTATAATTTTATGTATTGTGCTATGTTAAACAGCTTGATGCAGTTGTGTTTCATCCTGTGATTTTAGCCTCCTGATGATTCTTTGTTACCAGTTATGGCAGTGGTGACTTAAAATGAATGTTCTTCCTCTGTCAGTCCTTCTACATTTGTTAGCTGGCATTTTTAACAAAGAACTTTCACTCCTCCTCTTTATTTCAATATCACTGGTGACTAATGCACTTGTGTTTTATTCCATGGGTTATTTTCTATCACTATCATTATTCTTTCTGATGCCTATGCTGTCTCAGATTCGGCTGCGGGAGCCTATGTCCTTTCACCTGTCTATGTTAGTCTTTGAGCATTTCTTACTTTCTGACAGAACAAGAGGTTCCAGGCTCATTTTATCTTCTTTTTACTTTGGGGCTGGAATTAGCCTTTCTCTTAAGGATTATGTGTTTTTAGCTTAGAAATTGATGAGGTTTCCAAAAGATCTACGAAACACTAACTTCCTTTTTGAGCAATTGTTTTCTAAAATTAGATTAATCTTTTTAAAGGGTTATTCATTTATTCTCTCTCTATATTTTTTGAAGTGTTGTATTAGGGAACCATGCCTGAGTTTGCCTATTAACTCTTCCAATGTTTATCAGATCATTTTTTACCTCTGCTATGTCATCCTAAACAATTCTTTGACATTTTCTATTTCTTTGTATTTTCATTGACTATATTGTCATTTCTAGACTTGCTGATGAACCTGCAAATTGAATTCTTTTGCATTTTCTTTCTAATAATATAGGCTATTGATGCCAAAGGAAAAAAAACAAATGGACTTGAAAATGATATACCTAACTAACATGTCAACAGTCTACACAGCCCTTTTATGTAGAAGGGAATTTATTTTTATCACATAACCTATAGAATTAACAATCTGAATACAAATACATTACATTTTGTAAAATGCAAGTAATCTTATGTAAGATCAGCTTGACTGCCAAGTTTTGTTTTGTTTATTTGTTTTGAGACAGAGTTTCACTCCATCGCACAGGCTTGAGTACAGTGGCATGATCTCGGCTCCCTGAAACCTCCACCTCCTAGGTTCAAGCAATTCTGCCTCAACCTCCTGAGTAGCTGGGATTATAGGCGTGTGCCACCACATCAGGCTAATTTTTGTATTTTAGTAGAGCTGGGGTTTCACCACGTTGGCCAGGCTGGTTTCAAACTCCCAACCTCTAGTGATCCGCCCACTGCAGCCTCCCAAAGTGCTGGGATTACAACCACACCTGGCCTGACTGCCAAGTTTTTAAAAAAATTTCTAAGATTACATTGAGAAAATTCTTAACACATAAGTAAAAAGAGACAATAAAAGGAGGTTTTTTTTATTCAAAGGTATAACTGGATAAGTAGATTTGTTTACAACCATTCTTGTGAAATACTTTTTAAAAAAATACGACCAACTTCTTTGCAAATAGCAGACACATACCTCAACTATGATGACCTAATTTTTGGTGGATAATATACATGATTAGGCAGAAATAGGCAAGCTCACACTGGTAGATTAACTATCAAATACTCAGTCAAAACTCCGTTTGTGGCCCCCACTTCTTGATCGATTTCTATTCCCACTTCGTCTTCTACCATCTTGTCGACTTCCTGATCGACTCCCTTGTCGACTCTGTCTACCTGATCGGCCGCCAGATCGACCACCTGACCGGCCTGACCGGCCCGACCGGCCACTTGACCAGCCACTCCTCTGTCTGGAATTAGAAGATGTGTTTCCATCATAATATTCTTCAATTTCAGGTAATTTGGCTGGCACTGAAAGTATCCAGTCGGAATCATGCCACTCTGCCTGTTAGGGGAATTTACAGGATTAATATATATGCAAAATAGAAACCATAAGCAAACACACAGGTACAGTAGACACTTTTTTCATATCTATTAGCTAAAGGTCATCTATCTGTTAAAGTGGAACAAAAATGGAAACCAAAAAATAAGCGAAAATACGTTCAATTTTCGAGATCATAAATTCATACCCAGTTTATACATTCTAAAACAGTACTATTTGGTATCTCAGGACAAAGCAGATACACTATTAATAAGTAGAGTGCAAAAAAATAAGTAAAAAATAAAAATAAAATAAGTAGAGTGCATTGTTTTCAGCAGGTACACTGACAAGCAAAAAGTAAAAAAGCCCATGATGGAGACTGAACATAAGTCAACACCAGCCAAGGACTAAAAAATGTGGCCACTGGAAACACTTTGGTATTGACTAAATAAATGAAGATATACAAATCAGTAACCCATAAGAGCATCACTATTTTATATCTTGCTACACTAACTATTCCTTATTGTGATCATGAGTGGCCAAGGAAAGTTGTTATTGGCTAGACACAATGGCTCACGCTTATAATCTCAGCACTTTGGGAGGCCAAGGTGGGCAGATCACTTGAGGTCAGGAGTTCGAGACCTGCCTGGCCAACGTGGTGAAACTCCAGCTCTACTAGAAATACAAAAATTAACTGGACATGGTAGTGGGCGCCTATAATCCCAACTACTTGGTAGGCTAAGGAAGGAGAATTGCTTGAGCCTGAAAGGTGGAGGTTGCAGTGAGCTGATATCATGTCACTGCACTCCAGTCTGGGTGACAGAATGAGACTGTCTCAAGAAAAAAATGTTGTTATTAAGATACCCTGTTGCAGCCGGGCGCGGTGGCTCAAGCCTGTAATCCCAGCACTTTGGGAGGCTGAGGCAGGTGGATCACGAGGTCAAGAGATCGAGACCATCCTGGTCAACATGGTGAAACCCCATCTCTACTAAAAAATACAAAAAATTGGCTGGGTATGGTGGCACGTGCCTGTAATCCCAGCTACTCAGGAGGCTGAGGCAGGAGAATTGCCTGAACCCAGGAGGCACAGAGGTTGCGATGAGCCGAGATTGCACCATTGCACTCCAGCCTGGGTAATGAGAGCAAAACTCCATCTCAAAAAATAAAAATAAAAAGATACCCTGTTGCTCAGGTTATCTTTCTTTCCAATACCAGTACTTTTTGGGAAAAGACAAATGAACATACCACTAGTGGGGGTTTGGCAATATATAACAAAGTCAAAAAAATGCATAAACCTTTTGGCCAAGCAATCTCATTTAAAAACTCATCTTAAAGAGATAAATATGGCAATGCATAAAGAATTTGCTATGCCAATGCTTAGCGAAGAACTAACAATAGAAATAATTTAATTTCAGAAAACGGGAGATTGGTTAAGAAAACCAGCCACCCAAATGGCCAAATGCCAGGGAGTCATTAAAAATAAGTAACTGGGGTGACGGATCCAAGATGGCCGATTAGGAGCAGCTCAGGATTGCAGCTCCCAGCGAAAGCGTGGAGGGTGAGTGGACGCTGCATTTCCAGACAGATTTTTATTGCCCACAGACCAGGAGATTCCCAGGCGGAGGAGCCCCACGGGTCCCCAGCACGGCTGTTTTGGCCAGTGCTGTGGTTCTCTGCACAAAATACACGGGTCTGGGCGCCATTTTACCTGGCGATTGGAGCTCCTAGGAGACAGAGTCGTCCATTTAACTGATAAAAAGGGGGACTGAAACAGGGAGCCAGGCCAGGAGATTCCCGGGCAATAAAGCAACCGAATCTCAGCACAGTTACAGCTGGCACAGTGGGTATACTACACAGGAAACCACACAGATCCTGGCGCCTTTTCAACAGGCAACTGGAACACTTGGGAGACAGAGTCACCCATTGAACTAAAAAAAAAAAACCAAAAACAAGGGCTCTAAGGCAGGGAGCCAGGTAAAAAATAAGTAACTGGGCCGGGTTTGATGGCTCACACCTGTAATCCCAGCACTTTGGGAGGCCAAGGCTGGGGGATCACCTGAGGCTAGGAGTTTGAGACCAGCCTGACCAACACGGTAAAACCCCATCCCTACTAAAAAATACAAAATTAGCCAGGCATGGTGGTACATGCCTGTAATCCCCACTACTTGGGAGGCTGAGGCAAGAGAATCACTTGAACCCAGGAAGTGGAAGTTGATGTGGGCTGAGATCACATCATTGCACTCCAGCTTGGGCAACAAGAGCAAAATGCCATCTCAAAAAATAAATAAGTAACTGGGGCTGGATGCAATGGCTCATACCTATGAACCCAGTACTTTGGGAGGCTGAAGTGGGAGGATCACTTGAGGCCAAGAGTTTAAGATCAGCCTGGGCAACATAGCAAGACCTCATCTCTATTTAAAAATATTAAAAAGAAAAGAAAAAAAGAACTGTTACTGACCCAAAAAAGTGTCTTTAATATATTCTGAATTTTTAAAAAGACTTCAAAAGCAGAATACTCTTTCTTGTTTCAAAGCATGTATATAAGTATGTAAAGATATAATAGACAAATTCTTTATTATGGGAATCCAGTAGACAACTTCTTTTTTCAACAGATAAAATACAAGAATTTTTTTTAAAAGAGAGGGAGGGAGGAGGAAGAATCTATAGATTAAAAGAAAGGTAAACATCAAATTCCAATGTATGAGCTTTATGGACTTTATATTTTAAAAATTTAGGGGAAAAAATGGAAAAGTTTAAACAAAATTAGATGATACTAAGGAATTATTATTTTAGGAGAGTTTAATTATGGTATTATGATAATGTCTTTTTTAAAGTCGTTAATATTTAGAAATATGAAAATATTTATGGTTGAAATGCTAAAATACCTAGACTTTATTTCAAAAGAACACAGGAAACTAGCTAAGTAGATGGACACAGAAATGAAACAAAACTGGCTATGAATTGATAATTGTTGAAACTAAGTGTTGGGTACATGGGGATTCATTATACAAGTCTATCATCTAAAAAGTACTTGAGGCTGGGCGCGGTGGCTCAAGCCTGTAATTCCAGCACTTTAGGAGGCCGAGGTGGGCAGATCACAAGGTCAAGAGATCGAGACCATCCTGGCCAACATGGTGAAACCCCATCTCTACTAAAAATATAAAAAATAGCCGGGCATGGTGGCACGTGCCTGTGGTCCCAGCTACTCAGGAGGCTGAGGTGGAAGAATCACTTGAACCCAGGAGGCAGAAGTTGCAGTGAGCTGAAATTGCGCCACTGCACTCCAGCCTGGGGATAGAGCAAGACTCCGTCTCAAAAAAAAAAAATAAAAAAATTGAAATGATTTATAATAAAAAATTTTTTGGCTGGGCACGGTGGCTCATGCCTGTAATCCCAGAACTTTGGGAGGCCAAGGCAGGCAGATCACAAGGTCAGGAGATCAAGACCATCCTGGCTAACATACTGAAACCCTGTCTTTACTAAAAAAATACAAAAAGTTAGCCAGGCATGGTGACACTCCTGGCCTCAAATGACACTCCTGGCCTATAGTTAAAGCTATGCAGGAGGCTGAGGCAGGAGAATCGCTTGAACCCGGGAGGCGGAGGTTATAGTGAGCCAAGATCGCACCACTGCACTCCAGCCTGGGCAACAGAGCAAGACTCCATCTAAAAAAAAAAAATTTTGGCCAGCTATGGTGGCTCACACTGATATTCTCAACACTTTGGGAGGTCAAAGTGGGAGGATCATTTGAGGCCAGGAGTTCAAGACCATCCTGTGCTACAGAGTCTCCCTACAACATTTTAAAAAAAATCAGCCAGGCATAGTGGCACATGCCTTGTAGCCCTAGCTACTTGGGAGGTTGAGGTGGGAGGATCACTTGAGCCCAAGAATTCAAGGTTGCAATGAGCTATGATTGTGTCACTGCACTCCAGCCTGAGAGAGTGTCCATCTCTAAAAATAAATTTAATTCTGGCTGGGTACTGTGGCTCACGCCTGTAATCCCAGCTCTTAGGGAGGCAAAGGTGGGAGTTCAAGACCTGCCTGGGCAATACAGCAAGACCTTATTCTCTAAATAAATAAATAAATAAATAAAAAGAAAAAAAAAATAATAAAAATAAATTTAATTTTAAAGGCCAGACGTAGTGGCTCATGCCTGTAATCCCAGCACTTTGGAAGGCCGAGGTGGACAGATCACAAGGTCAGGAGATCAATACCATCCTGGCCAACATGGTGAAACCCCATCTCTACTAAAAACACATAAAATTAACCAGGAGTGGTAGCGTGTGCCTATAGTCACAGCTACTCAGGAGGCTGAGGCAGGGGAATAGCTTGAACCTGGGAGGCGAAGGTTGCAGCAAGCCAAGATTATGCCACTGCACTCTAGCTTACAACACTCTAGACGGCAACAGAGCAAGATGCCGTCTCAACCAATTAATTGATTTTAATTTTGAGACAGACTGGATATTTTATATTAAGGAATTCTTCATTGACTTAGGCATGATACTGACACTGTGACTATGTTTTCCAAAATATCCCAATCTAAATTTACAGAATGTACTCAAATATTTAAGAGATAAAATTTTTAAAATACCTGTAACCTTTCTGACTCAGTTGTAGGAACATCAAAGCAAACACCCTAAAAGCAAAATAAAAACATTTTAAATTAGACACATATGTGTTTTTTTGGTTTTACTAATAATGCATGATACAGTGGCTGCTTAATGTATTTTCTAAATTTAAAAAGTAAACATTGTATCTCATAAGAATTTACAACTACTACTAAGAATCTAGAGTATTCTCTAGAAGAGTTTGTGTAGACAGTATATGTTGTTCCACATCCCTTGTAAAATGATCTCTCCAATAAATTTATTTTAAAATTTAATGACAAAGTTTCATTTACAAAGAGCTGCAGCAGGCCAGGCAAGGTAGCTCATGCCTATAATCCCAGCACTTTGGGAGGCCAATGCAGACAGATTGTTTTGAGTCCAGGAATTTGACCAAGACCAGCCTGGGCAACATGGAGAAACCCTGTCTCTATTAGAAAAAAAAAAAGCAAAATTCAGCCAAGTGTGGTGGTACATGACTATAGTCCCAGCTACTTAGGAGGTTGAAGTGGGAGGATCACTTGATGGTTGATGGTGGAGATGGCAGTGAGCTGAGGTCATGCCAGCCTGGGTGACAAGGCAAGACCCTATTTCAAAAAAAAAAAAAACTGCCATGTTTATTAAATAATAAGAATGATATAACCCAAGATGTTTCCTCTATGGCCTTGGTTGTCAATAAGCTGAAAATTAATTTAATACTCAAGTACAGCAACTAGTTTGGCCTATGGATCTTGCTATTTTTTCCCTCCCCTCTACATTTTTTCTTTCTTGAAAGTGTGTATTTGTCTCATACTTGCCGCACATCTTTTTTTAAAGTTAATACTAAACTTTGAGAGAGATGATTATTTGCAATATACAATCTAGTTAATAAATTCCAAGCTAGAATGAACCTATGCAGTAAAGTTAATAACATAATGTTGTTTTTCAAAACCATTAGATGAAATCAGTCACAAGATTACAGTTTTAATTTTGCAATATAAATGTATTAAAATATTTATTTAATTCATATCATTAACTCATTAACAACCAAGAGCAGGCCACTTAAAAGCCAAACTGCATGTTCTCAAAATTATAGAGCTGTTTACTACAATAATAAGTTACTTAGTCTTAGAGAATGAACACACGCTAGCACTTTGGGAGACTGAGGCAGGTGAATCCCTTGAGCTCAGGAGTTCAAGACCAGCCTGGGTAACATGGCAAAATCCTGTCTTTACCAAAATATAATAATACGGGCTGGGTGCAGTGGCTCATGCCTGTAATCCAAGCACTCTGGGAGGCCGAGGCGGGAGGATCACCTGAGGCTAGGAGTTCAAGACCAGCCTGGCCAACATGGTGAAACCCTATTCCCCTACTTCAAAAAAAAAAAAAGGTGGCAAGCACCTGTAATCTCAGCTACTCAGTAGACTGAGGCAGGAGAACTGTTTGAACCTGGCAAGCAAGAGGTTGCAGTGAACCGAGATCGTGACACTGTACTCCAGCCTGGGTGACAAGAGTGAAACTCCATTTCAAAATAATAACAATAGGCTGGATGCAGTGGCTCATGCCTGTAATCCCAGCACTTTGGGAGGCCGAGGCGGGTGGATCACGAGGTCAGGAGTTTGAGACCAGCCTGGCCAACATAGTGAAACCCCATCTCTACTAAAAATACAAAAAATTAGCCAGGCATGGTGGCACGTGCCTGTAATCCCAGATACTCAGGAGGCTGAAGCAGGAGAATCACTTGAACCTGGAAGGCGGAAGTTGTAATGAGCCAAGATTGCACCATTGTACTCCAGCTTGGGCGACACTGTGAGACTCCATTTCAAAAATAATAATGATGATAATAATAATAATACAAAAAGGGCAGGTGCAGTGGCTCACTCCTATAATTTGAGCACTTCGGGAGTCCAAGGCAGGAGGATCACTTGAGCCTGGGTAAAAAGACACCATCCCATAAAGTAGTAAATAAATAAAATGTAAAAAATAAAGAGAATAAACACATGTATACAACCACATACGCTATGTGGCAGAAACTTAGATAACTTGGGTATTAGATAGTGAAACTGAACAGAATGACTTACAGCTCTGGAGGAATGGGTTATGTAAATAATGCCCCAAATTAATAACTGGAAACAAACTACACAGAGAAAGCAGTATTATTCATGCCATTAGCCTTCAAAAAGAGAAAGAACAAAATTTGATAGTGTTTATAAACATTTGGGGTAGTTAATTTAAAAGCTATTTAATTGTCTAGAAAAGCCTACCATATTTCCTTTCAGGAGGCACATTCTGGTAATCTGAGACACTGCATTACTACTCAGCTTTCTGTTAAGTTCTTTCCAAGCACAGCTGACATCCTGTATTTCCTCTAGGCTTTCCAGAGTCATGGTCACAAATCCCTTAAGGAATAAAAATCACATTATGTTTGGAAATACATCAGCAGCAGCAGTACAACGAAATTCTAACTCTATAGTCCTTCAAGACTTAATTGTGCATTTCTTATGAGCCAAAAGTATAACACTGCAGCAGCTAAAAAACTTTTTTGAAACTACATTATTAGAAGAATAGTGTTTATAGATAATTGAAAGTACTATTCTATGTATTGCTATAAAACTATATTTAATTCTAACCATTATGCTTTAAGAGAGAATTAGGAATTAAGCAAACCAGAGCCAAGAAAGACAACAAGGTAGTGAAGAATTAAGGAAATGCTGAAGGAGTCAAAGTCAGCTTGGAATGAAAGCTGTGGCTGGGCTCAGTGGCTCATACCTATAATCCTAGCACTTTGGGAAACCAAGGCGTATGGGTCACTTGAGCTCAGGAGTTCAAGACCAGCCTGGGCAACATAGCGAAACACCATCTCTACAAAAAAATAAAAAAACAAAAACTAGCCGGGCATCACCACGTGCCTATAGTCCCAGCTACTCAAGAGGCTATGGTGAGAGAATTGCTTGAGCCCAGGAGGCAGAGGTTGCAGTGAGCTGAGATCATGCCACTGCATTCCAGCTGGGTAACAGAACCAGACCTTGTCTCAGAAAAAAAAAAATAAAAGGAAAAAAAAAATACAACACAAATTTCTTTAACCTTTTTTTTTTTTTTTTTTTGAGACAGAGTCTTGCTCTGTGACCCAGAGTGGCACCTTCAACTTCCTGGACTCGAATAATTCTCTCACCTCAGCCCCATGAGCATCTAGAACTACAGGTGTGCGCCACCATGCCAGGCTAATTTTTGCATTTTTAGTAGAGACAGGGTTGCCCAGGTTGGTCTTGAATTTCTGGACTCAAGTGATCTGCCTGCCCCAGCCTCCCAAAGTGCTAGGATTACAGGCATGAGCCACCATGCCTGACTAATTTCTTTAAACTTTTGAAGGACTGTTGCAGAAGCAAAAATTTACTTGTTCTGTAACACTTCACTAATAGCAAAAGAATCAACATTAAGAAGATATGGGGATACATTCATCAAACAAGTATTTATTAAGTGCTCGCTATGTATGTGACACAGACTGTACTAGGTGCTAGAGATTCAGCAATAAGTAGTGCTTTCTTTCATGGAAAGTAGATTCTAGTGCATGTGCATGTACATATGCCTGTATGTGGGGAGGTGGGGGATACACAGTAAACAAATAAGCAAATATATGGAATGTCATATAGTAATAAGCATCACAAACAGGAATAAAGCAGGGCTTAGGGAATAAAGAGGACAGGGAGGAGTATGCTATTTTAGAGCGATCAGGAAAGACCTCTCTGGCATGATATTTGAGCAGAGGCCAGAATGAAATAAAGGAGGAAGCAACATGGTTATTAGAGGAGAACATTCACGACAATGAAAGTAGGTGCTAAGGCCCTGTGCAATAGTTAAGTTAATGTCTGGGGAAAACCAAATAGGTTAGGTTGGCTGAAATAAGCAAAGGGAGCGGGATACGGATAAGAGATGATGTCAAGGAGGCAGCAAGAGGAAAAGCCTAGGATATTCATGATAAAGACTTTGGGTTTTCATTTAACCCATGAAAGAAATTTCAAGCCACTAACACCCTGTTTCTAATATGTTTAATCAGAGATTAAATGACCCATTTGCTGAAGAGGGATTCTTTATTGGATAAGGGTTGAGACTAAATGACTTCTTAGGTACTTCTTAGCTCTAAATCTCAATATTTTCTAAAGAAATATGTTTTAAATAATGTCTTAAGAAGCGTTTGGTGGGTTATTAGGGATATTTGCTCAGTGCTATTAGTAACCCCACAAGTTTCTAATTACAGAGAGTAAAAGATACCTTTATAATATGGCAGTTTCCGTCTTAAATGCTCAAACTAAGCATTACTAATACTTATACTAACATTTTATGCCTGTTGACATGATGCAGTATGAGGTACATATTAGCTATAAAGTACTCTTGCCAAAAACATTTAACCTAAATATAAAAATCAAGCTTTGGCATTACTTCCAGTTTAAAAGAGGATAAAGGTAAAAGTTAAATGATGCTTGAATAGAAGTTCAGACAAATCCAGCCACTGAGATATTCTACCAAACAACTGACCTAGACTCTTCACCAAATCAATCAGAAAAAAATTTAAAATGAGAAAATAGTTTCAGACTAAAAGAGACTAAAGAGACATAATACCAAATGTAACATAGAAAACTTAACTAGATCCTGAATTTTTAAAAAGATACACACAAATAGGTTTATGTATACATATGGATAAACAGAATGGAGTCAAATAAGTCACTTGCAGCAAAACGAGATTCAGCTAAACTATTAACACATATCAGGCAGAAAACATCAGATACTCCAGCTGCATTTATTTCTGCAAATAAGTCACCTCCAAGTTAACCTGCCCTGCCTTTTTGGTCCCTCCTCCCCATCACAGGGATGTGCTGTCCAAAATTAGTCTGTTCTGTTATTATTTGAAAATCCTGCCAGCAGGCTCTAGTCTTATAGATGTCTCCAGGACGAAGCTGGCTCATTCTCTCTCTCCACTCAGACATAACAGAGCTCTTTTTAAAAATTCTCTTCACCAAGAAACTCCCCTCACTTATACTTGAGTAAGTAAAAAAATCACTGAGCTACCTGCACCAATGGTTCTGGTGTGGTATATTTTGACATGTGATACTAACCTGGAAGCAGGCCAGTTCAGATGATGTTACACTTACACAAACCCTCCACACACACAGGCATTTCTTACTTTGCATGCTACTGTGTTAATTTTGCAGAGGCTATTTTTTACTTTGCAGGATTCCATGGAAACTTACAAAATGAAACATAAGTTCTGGTATACAAGTTTCAGTTAACAAAGGTGTGTACAAAGTAAGCATTTCCTATATTTCTCTCCAAATACCCGAAAGACAGACAGACAGACATTTTCGGGATAATGAGAAAAATACAGATATGAACCAAATATTAGATGATGATACAGAACTATCATTAATTTTAACAGATGAGATTATTGTATTGTGATTACGTAGGGGAATATCCTTATTCTCAGAGGATGCATGCTGAAATATTTAGGGATGATATCACAGTGTTTCAACTGACTTTCAAATGGTTTAGAAAAAAAAAATACAGGCCAGGCAAGGTGGCTTACACCTGTAATCCCAGCACTTTGGGAGCTGAGGAGGGAGGAATACCTGAGGTCAGGAGTTTGAGACCAGCCTGACCAATAAGGTGAAACCCCATCTCTACCAAAAATACAATAACTAGCTAGGTGTGGTGGCATGTGCCTATCGTCCCAGGTACTCAGGAGGCTAAGACAGGAGAATTGCTCGAATCCTAGAGGCAGAGGTGGCAGTGACCCAAGATCACACCACTGCACTCCAGCCTGGGCGATCACAAACTCTGTCTCAAACAAAAAACATTAAGTTATAAAGCAAGAAAGAAGATATTAACGGCTTCTAAAACAAAGAAATGATAAATGTTTTAAGACAATGAATATGCTAATGATCCTGATCTGATCCCTATACATGGTATGTATTGAAACATCACTATGTTCCTTATAAATATGTATGGTTATTACATGTCTTTTTTTTTTTTTTTTGAGATGGAATTTCGCTGTTGCCCAGGATGTAGTGCAATGGCACGATCTCGGCTCACTGCAAACTCCACCTCCCAGGTCCAAGCAATTCTCCTGCCTCAGCCTCCCGAGTAGCTGGGATTACAGGCATGAGCCACCACACCTGGCTTATTTTTGTAATTTTAGTAGAGTCGGGGATTCGCCATGTTGGCCAGGCTGGTCTTGAACTCCTGACCTCAAATGATCCACCTGCCTTGGCCTCCCAAAGTCCTGAGATTACAGGTTTGAGCCACCGTGCCCAGCAGTACACATCAAATTTTTTTTTTTAATTAGAAATTAAGAGCTAAAAAAGGATATAAAGCAAATAATGGACACAATTTTGACAGCTGAATCTAGGTGGATGGTATGTGGTTACTGCCTTATTCTTTCAGTTTTTCTGTGGGTTTGAAAAATCTTTGGAAGAGGTGATTGTTAAAAAATGATTTATTAGGGAGTAGAGGAGAATAGGGAGACCAGTTTCTCATATACCAGAATAGGTTTTTTTGCACAAGAAACACAGGTAATTCACTATGCAATATTTACTATGGTTCAACGTTAACCTTTTCCCACGCACGGACAACTTTCTCACAGATTTCTACCTTATCAGAGGTGATCAAAGATCGTGGTTCAAAGCTTGATGCACCAGAAATGTGGGCTAAGGCTGCAGCCAATGCATCCACTGCCCCTTTCTCTTCTATCAGTCTCTGAGCTGACGGTCGGAAAAAATCAACAGCAGCATAAGAAACGGAAGCCAGAGACCTATGGTTTAAAAACGGTATTCTTGGTCAGGATGCAGGGAAAAAAATAAAGGAAGATAAATGGGAAAAAGAAAGTAACTTTTTCTTTTCCTTTCTTTTTGAGACAGAGCCTTGCTCTGTGACCCAGTCTGGAGTGCACTGGCACAATCTTGGCTCACTGCAGCCTCAACCTCCCGGACTCAAGCGATCCTCCCGCCTCAGCCTTCCAAGTAGCTGGAACTACAGGTGCATGCACCACCACGCCTGGCTAATCTTTGTATTTTTTTTACAGACAAGGTTTCACCATGTTAGCCAAGCTAGTCTCAAACTCCTAAACTCAAGCAATCTGCCCACCTCAGCCTTCCAAAGTGCTGGAATTACAGGCATGCACCACAGTGCCCAGCTAAAACATTTTTATATTTTAATATAACTAAATGTCTGCTGGTAAAACTGGTGATTCTGCTATTTGACTAGGAGAGCTTATAGATGAATAGCCTAATACAAAAGAAACAATTATCAGAAAGTTCAGAAAGCATACCTGATGGCATCCATGCTTTTAGATTTAACTAAATCCATTGTAGAAGGAACACCTACACGTTTAAAAGTAATTCCCTGAAAATGAAAGAGTTACATTAAACAAAAATGGAAGTCTTTAAAATTAATTCCTAAATTAATATATTAATAGTCTATTGAATTTCTATTTCTTAGACTTAAAGATTTCATAGCGCTAGCAGATTAAAAGATCTGTTTTATCCATTTTTTTTGAGACAGATTCTTACTCTGTCACCCAGGCTGGAGTGCAATGAAGCAATCCTGGCTCACTGCAACCTCCACCTCCTGGGCTCAAGCAATTCTCCTGCCTCAGCCACCCTAGTAACTGGGATTACAGGTGCCTGCCACCATGCCCAGCTAGTTTTTGTATTTTTAGTAGAGACAGGGTTTCACCATGTTGGGCAGGCTAGATTCAAACTCCTGACCTCAAGTATCCGCCTGCCTCAGCCTCCCAAAGTGCTGGGATTACAGGCGTCAGCCACTGCACCCAGCCAAGATCTGTTTTTTCTAATAAATCAATTACAAATTTCAGAAAAATAATTTTTTGAAATGCCCCTTAGTTGCAATCATGGAACTTCACTTGCAAAACAAGTTTGATTAAAAAAAAAAAAAAAAAAAAAAAAGATGTTTAAATCTATCAGCTTTTTTCCTCCTTATTACACTATCTCATTTTACAAAGTATATGAAATAGCATATAAAGACACATATAAAAATAGGAAAAATGTGAAATACCACAAAAAATCCAGACCACAGAAAATGTAGTTTCTTTAGAAACTGTCCATTGTATCATTACTTAAAAGAATGTTAACTATTATACCAAAACAATCTTATAGCCACCCATTTACAATGCTGGACTAAGAAGTACTGAAATCACAATGCACTTCTGATTTTAGTATGACAAGAGAAATTCAAGGAAAAGATGAGAAAGTCAGCTCTACTGTCTTCACAATAAAAGCTGTACTGAAGTCTTGAAGCTAATATAAATTTAGATCTCTGCAGGCTTCACATCCAAATGCAGCTTAAAATGAGAAAAGTTATAAAGACCTACTTGTGAGAATAAATATAAAAGGAGCTCTCTTCTAAGGCACCATTTAGACAATAAGCCTGAAATAATTTAACTCTACTTACTGCTTTTTGCTCCACGTATCTTAGTTGACCTCTTTCTCTTGGTTGATAAAAACATATACAAATCCCTGTCCGTCCAGCTCTACCTGTGCGTCCAGAGCGATGGATATAGGACTCAACATCCTAAAGATTGTAAGAGGTAATACTTTTTAAAAAAACTGGCAAGTTCCAGTCATTCCAGAATCTAAATAATAATGTTAATAATAATAATAATAATAATAATAAATTTTTTTCAATCCTATTGCTCTTTTCAACATTCCAAACAATTTATATGTGTGGATTTTGAGGTAAAGGCAGTAAGATTTAAAACCTTTTAATCTACTTCATCTTTTTAAAAAAATAAAAATCAGTTCCCTATAAGAAGGAAATTTAAAATAATAATAATAATAATATAATCTACTTTATCCCAGGTTTCTTTAAATGTCAACTTTTTATAATTCTCTGCCTGATTTTGTTGCTCCATGCTTCAAATCCAAACAATAAAATTAATCATCTGCAAAGGTATCAGAATCTGATCAATTTAATACCACACTAACAAAAAATGGCTAAGAGCAAGAAGAGATGACATATTTTTCACATCCCAAGCAATAAATTGTAAATTAAATGGGAATTTATAAAATTGTTCTTATCTTCCCCAAATCAAATCCCATTTCCTACCTGAGGAGGAGAACTTTGAATAACCAGGTCAACTTCAGGAATGTCCAAACCACGGGCAGCCACATTGGTTGCCACCAAAACTTTAAAACTACCTTCTCTGAAGCCTTTTAGTGTAATTTCTCTTTGTGACTGTGCAATGTCCCCATGTAAACACTGGGCATTCTATTTGAGAAAGAGGGAGAAAATTAAGTGTACAGCTCATACTTGCAACTGATAGCACTGCAACACCATCTAGGTCTGTGCTCCTTTTGCATGTTTTTAAATCTTACTTTCTGAAAATATTTAACATAAAATGTAAAAGCTTCCCTAATACTAGCCACTTGGAAATAATTTACTGCTAAGAGTGTGGTAAAATTCTGTCAGATTTTTTTTTGAGATGGAGTTTCACTCTTGTTGCCCAGGCTGGAGTACAATGGCTCGATCTTGGCTCACCACAACCTCTGCCTCCTGGGTTCAGGCAATTATCCTGCCTCAGCATCCCAAGTATCTGGGATTACAGGCATGTGCCTACCACGCCCAGCTAATTTTGTATTTTTAGGAGAGATGGGGTTTCTCCATGTTAGTCAGGCTAGTCTCAAACTCCTGACCTCAGGTGATCTGCCCACCTTGGCCTCCCAAAGTGCTAGGATTACAGTCATGAGCCACCACACTGATCCCAGACTTTTTTTTTGGTTTTGTTTTTTTGAGGCAGAGTTTCATTCTTATTGCCCAGGCTGGAGTGCAATGGCGCAATCTCAGCTCACTACACCCTCCACCTCTCAGGTTCAAGCAATTCTCCTGCCTCAGCCTCCCGAGTAGCTGGGATTACATGCATCCACCACCATGACCAGCTAATTTTTGTATTTTTAGTAGAAACAGTGTTTCGCCATGTTGACCAGGCTTGTCTTGAACTCCGGACCTCAGGTGAGCCCCGGCCTCGGCCTCCCTGAGTGCTGGGATTACAGGTGTGTGCCACCACATCTGGCCACTTTTTTTAAATATACACATACACACACACTCACACTACTCACATTACACTAGCGTATATTATGACTTTATGTATTTATTTATAAAATGGGATCAAATTATGTAGATAGGGTTTTGTAATCTACTTTATAAATTTCCTGTATCTTAGCTATCCATATTTATAAGTAAAATACTACTTAATTTTTAAAAACTGTATATAATGTATTCATATGGATGCAGCAGCATCTATTTTAGCAAAATCCTACTGATGAACATTTAGGCTGTTTTCAAATTTTCACCTTTAGAAACGATGCTGCAATGAACAACTTTGTACTTATATCTCTGGATGCCTCAGTATCTGTGTATTTCAGCAGGATACATATCTAGAAGTTGAATTCTGGGTCAAAATTATGAACACATAGCACTTTAATAGAAACTATATTATAAAAAAAGTCGGGTACCTTTTATTCTTCAATACTCTATGAGTATTTATTTCATCACATCCCACTCACCTTGTATATTATAAATCATTGTAATCTTTGTGAATTTAATAGGCAAAAATAATTTCCCAATGATGTTTTAATTTACATATCTAATTTTTAGTGACGATGAATCTATTTATATTGGGTTCATCTTCATCTGGGTTGCAAATTTCCTTCCTAATATTATCTTTCCTTCCCAGTATTCCTTCCAAAATACACTTCTTAGTATTCTTGATCACTATATTAAAGTCAAAAAGTTCATTAACAATGATCAGGCCGGGCATAGTGGCTCATGCCTGTAATCCCAGAATTTTGGGAGGTTGAGGTGGGTGGATCACTTGGAAGTCAGGAGTTCAAGACCAGCATGGCCAACATGGTGAAACCTTGTCTCTCCTAAAAATGCAAAGATTAGCCAGGTATGGTGGTGCATGCCTGTAATCCCAGCTACTTGAGAGACTGAGGCAGGAGAATCACTTGAACCTGAGAGAAGAAGGTTGCAGTGAGCTGAAATCACTCCACTGCACTCCAGCCTGGCCAGCAGAGCAAGACTCTACCTCAAAAATAAAGTTTTTAACAATAATTTAAAACCAACAGTATCTCAGCCTTGGTATCTAAATTGCTTAATGCACACATGAATGAATTCAGTGAGCATTTGCTATCTGCCTGGATTATACCTGGTTCTAGAACATTAATAAAGAAATGGCTCTGGGGCAACCAGCTGACAGGCTTTTTCAATCCAGTATGATGTATGCTATCACAGGTATAGGTTCAGAGGGTTACAGGAATATTTAAGAGGAAAATCCAACTCAATTTTGTTCAAGAGGAAGGCAGCACTGAAGCTGAGACCTGACATCATAGGGAACTAGTAGGTAAAAAAAGGAGCAGAAGGCTAGGGAGTTCGTGGTAGAAGAAATCTCATATATAGAGTGGGGAGTGGAACCTACAAATATTTGAGCATTGCTGAAACATAGTGAAAAGGGAGTGGGGAGGTGAGAAGATAGGGAGTGATAGATGAGATTGGAATAGAATATGAACTTTATCCTGAGGACAATATGAAACAATTGAATGATTACAAGCAGAAAAATATGAACACATTTAAATTATACAGCCGGGCCCAGTGGCTCACTCCTGTAATCCTAGAACTTTGGGAGGCCAACATAGGTGATCACCTGAGGTCAGGAGTTCAAGACCAGCCTGGCCAACATGGTGAAACCCTGACTCTACTAAAAACAAAAAAAGTAGCCGTGTGTGGTGATGGGCACCTGTAATCCCAGCTACTTGGGAGGCTGAGGCAGGAGAATCACTGGAAACCAGGAGGCAGAGGTTACAGTGAGCTGAGATTGCACCACTGTACTCCAGCCTGGGTGACAAAGTAAAACTCCATCTCAAAAAAGTATATTAAAAATATATATATTTTTATATATTTTGTATATGCTCTGCCACCCACCCAGCAGCCTGGATGACAGAGGAAGACCTGTTTCTAAAAAAAGAAATAAGAGGTCACTAATATGGTGGCAATGATCATCTATTTGCTCCACAAACACATAATGACCTAAAACAAGTTGGGCACTAGGCATAAAAAGGTGAACAAAAATAAGACTACTTCTGTCCTCAGTCTTTATATACTGGTCAGAAAGATGGACATTATTCAAATACTTAGGCATGCAAATAAATTTAGACAATGAATGTAATAGATGATGAATGAGTTTAACAGGCAACGAGCGTTATAAGAGGACAACTTGACCTAGCCTGGGGCAAGAAAGGATTCTCTAAAAAGTGATGTTTTGGACTGAGATCTGAAGGATGAGTAGAAGTTGCTAGGCAAGGTAGACTACAAATTCAAGAGCGGACCAGCATGGTGGCTCATGCCTGTAATCCCAGCACTTTGCGAGGCCAAAGCAGAAGGACTGCTGGAGCCCAGGTGTTCAAGACTAGCCTGGGTTACGCAAGGATAGCCCATCTCTATAAAAAATAAAAAATTAGCCAGGCATAGGGGCACACACTTGTCATCCCAGCTACTTGGGAGGCTGAGATGGGAGGATAATTTGGGCCCAAGCAGTTGAGGTTGCAATAAGCCATCATGCCACTGTACTCCAGCCTGGGAGACAGAGTGAGACCCCGTTTCCCCCTCCATTGCATTCCCCCTCGCAAAAAAAACCATGGCATGTCTGGAGCATGTGCAAAAAAGGAAAACAATGAGAGGGAATTATGATAAGATGAGGCTGGAAAGGTAAGTAAGGGTTAGACCATAACTGAATTCAATAACTATTAGCTGATGAAATTGCAAGGACATAGTTAAGAGAGTAGAAATGATGTATAAAGGAAGGAGATAATATTATACATGATTCTCAGATTTTTAGCCTCTGCAACTGCAAAAAGAAATAAATGATGTAAGAAATAAATGGAGGCTAAGCACACTGGCTCATGCCTGTAATCCCAACATTTTTGGAGGCCAAGGCAGGTGAATCACCTGAGGTTAGGAGTTCAAGACAAGCCTGGACAATATGGTGAAACCCCGTCTCTACTAAAAATACAAAAAATAGCTGGGCATGGTGGCAGGCACCTGTAATTCCAGCTACTTGGTAGGCTGAGGCAGGAGAATCACTTGAACCCAGCGGGGCAGAGGTTGTAGTGAGCCGAGATCGCACCACTGCACTCCAGCCTGGGCGACACAATGAGACTCTGTCTCAAAAAAAAGAAAAGAAAAAAGAAATAAATGAGCCACTTTAAACCATAGGAGATAGAATCCAAAAATACTATGTAGTTTACCAGATGGCCAAGAGTGAGGAATAAATTCAAAAGTGATACATAAATTTCTGGTTTAAACAATGGGTAGACGTATTATTTAGAATGTAGAAAGTATTATTTAGAGTGTAGAAAGTAATTTAGGTTTAGGAACATAATGGGTTGGTGTGTCTGTAGCCAGTAGGTCTAGTATTCTTGAGGCAGATCCCAGTGAGATAAAGATTTGCGTATCATTAGCACATACTAGATAACTCAAGCCATAGGAGTTTATTAGATCTATTTATACATATCTGTACTTCTACATTCCTATACTAATTGACTGCTTGCTTCAAGAAAAGAAAATTGCTATACAAAGTGTTTTAAATAAACAATTTTTTTTTGAGACAGAGTCTCATTCCATAGCCCAGGCTGGAGTACAGTGGCATGATCTCAGCTCACTGCAAACTCTGCCTCCTGGGTCTCTGTTCAAGCAATTCTCCTGCCTCAGCCTCCTGAGTAGCTGGGATTACAGGCGCACACCACCATGCCAAGGTAATTTTTGTATTTTTAGTAGAGATGGGGTTTCATTATGTTGGCCAGGCTGCTCTTGAATTCCTGACCTCGTGATCCGCCCGCCTCAGCCCCACAAAGTGCTGGGATTACAGGTGTGAGCCACTACACTTGGCCTAAATAAACAATTTTTTAAAAAATAAAATAGAGACGAGGTCTCACTGTGTTGTCCAGGCTGGTTTTAAACTCCTGAGTTGAAGTGAGCCTCCTGCCTTGGCCTCCCAAAGTGCTGGGATTACAGATGTGAACCACCATGTCTGGCCCATCTAAATCTTAAAATGGTAAAAAAAAAAAAAAAAAGTAATTTTTAATACCACCTTTTAAATTTTATTTTTCGTTTATTTTGGAGATAGGGTCTCACTCTGTCACCCAGGGTTGAGTGCAATGGCATGATCATTGCTTACTACAGCCTCAACCTGCTGGGCTCAAGAAATGCTTCCC